CGCGGGCGAGGACGGCGCCCGGCCAGGCGCCCGCGGCCGGACGGGCTGACGGGACGCGGGGAGGGCGGGGCGGCCCGGCCCCCGCCGCGGCGACGCCCCCGCCGAGGGGTCCCTCCCGGACGGCGCGGGCCCCTTCCCTGCGGCGGCGAGGGGGGGGCGAGGGAGCGCCCCGCAAGGCAGCCGGCGCCCCCGCGACGGGCAGGGGGGCGCCCCTCGGAAGTGCCGGGCGGGGGGCGGCTGCCCCCTCGGCAGCGTGCGGGGACGCGGAGGGAGAGAGCGGAAGGGGCGCGCAGGGGCCATGCCTCTGTCCGCACGCACATGCGAGGGCGACCGGGCTGTGACTGCGAGGAGGAAGCGCACCCCGCCTGCGGGAGTGTGACTCGGGTTGACAGTCCACACGTGCACCCGCGCGCGAAGTGGCGTGGACTGGGGGTCTCCGGGAGGCGTGAGATGAAGCCGGGCGGGCCGGTGTCCTGCGTCCCCGCTGAGGGGGCCAGTCTGGGGAAAAGTCTCTTCCGCTTCGCTCTGAAAATACCCTGGGAAAGCAGGGCGCCCCATTTGGAAAGAAGACGGTGCGGGGACGGGGCAAGGGGTTGCCCCCCGTCTGAAGGGCTGCAGTTTGAGGTTCTCCCGCCTGGAAGCCCCCTCCCTTCAAAGTGCCACTTGTTGAGTTTCTCTGCCTACTGAAAACACAGTCTGGAAAAGTCGGGGGGATGCTATTCCAGGCCTCTATTGCTGCTCTGGACTATAGTTCCCATCTGCACCAGCGAGCCAGGACAGTGCTTGGGTGCAGTGGGATTTGTGCTCCAAAATTACCGATGGGGTGCTAGTTTGGGCAAGGAGTGGAGGGGTGATGGGGACAGGCCTGTGGGTGGGCTGGCTGCAAGGTGCTGGAAGGGAAGGTATGGTCCCGGCAAGTCTAGGTCTGTGAGGGGCTGGCCCTGCAGAGCAGGCCATGGAAGGGGGCGTGTCCCTGGCAGCGTGGCTAATGAGGGAAGGGGCCACTAGGCTCAGCTGCCTTGCAGAATGTGTCAGAAACTAGGCTTGTTGATGTGGGAGGGGCTTCAGTGGTTTTGAACGGATGGGCTGGGCTGTGTGGGGAGCATGGGACTCGTGGCCCAGCCCACTTGGGTGGTGCCAAGGGTGGGGGGAGCCCCTTTAAGCAGCCTGCTCCCACCTTGCTCCTTCCATTTGCTGTTCTGCAAGAAAAGAGTCCTCCTCCTCCAGGTTGCAGGGACACCTCTTGGTAAGGCTCCCGGAGGAGTGTGAGCAGGGGTGAGGTGGGGGAGCACATGATTTGAGGTTTGACCAGGAGTTTTTCTCAGCCAGTGAAAAAGTCGGTCTGTCCCAGGTAATGAGAGGGAAACCAATGCCTCTCCCCAGCATAGGGAGAGGCGTGAGCCTTAGGGAGTTCATTTGGCTTGCTCTGTCTTCTCCCTCCACATGGAAAAGCCCCCCCACCACAGTACTCTGGAACAGAGGAGGCCCACCAATCTTTCTTCATAGCAGGGCGGTTGAGAAGGGGCAAAGGGGGAAGAAGGCGGGGGATTGTGTCCCACCTCCACCCTTAATCTTCCGTGCAGCGTTTTCCCTGGGCAGAAGAGGGGGCTGTACTTCATAGAAAGGCATATGCGTAGGTGGACAAGGTACAAAACCCTTCCACCTCTGGCTGCCAGGACCGGAGAGCTGCCCTGTGGGCTTGGAGGAGTGTCAGGAGGGGGCTTGGCCGCAAGGGAGGGTGTGCTCGGAAAGGGAGCCTAACTGAGGAGCAAGTCTCTTTGGCCGAGGGTCCTGCCAGGAGTCTCTTGCTGACTTTTCCGTACCTGACTCTTCCAGGAGACTCTGCCAAGGGCATCAGGTATGTGGAGGGGCGCTCTGCTGGGCTTCTGCCCAGAGTGGGGTGTGGAGGAATAGACTCTGCTTTCTTTTGGGGTGACTTGGGAAAGGGGGATCCAGCAGAGTGGCTGGTTAGCATCTGCTTGTCTACATGGGGTGAGGTCCCTAGCGCTGGGCTGACTCCTCCCTGCAGCAGGAGCGCTGAATCCCGCTTGTTCGGAGCGGTGGGCATTCTGGAGGAAAACCATGCAAGACTCCTGGGTGAGCCGGTAGTCTTGATCCCGCTCGCTGCCGCACCTGGCTCCCGTCGCATCTCCAGGCTGTTCAGTCACGGACGGAGAGAGGAAGTTGGCATTTAATGTCCGACCTGGAAACATCTCTCCCTCCTACTTCATGCTTTCTCTCTCTTGAACCGGAGCATCCAGTCCTAGGCAGATGCTTGCATCCTGCAGCCGCTGCAAAGGCATCCCGCCGCTGTTCCTGGAATCGGGCGGGAGAGCTCGGCTGGGGACTGCATAGCCTTTCTGGCTGCCCCCCTTACCCAGACCCCTGAGTAAAAAATGCGCCGCTTCCCTGTGTGCTTTCTGCGTCTGGAAAAGTGCTGGGTTTTGTGCTGTGTTTCTGCTTCTCCAAAAGTGCTGTGTTTTGTCGAGAGCAAATGTAAAGGGGACTTTTGTGGGGTGGGGGCCCCGAGCTAAGTCCCCAGCCTGCCTTCTCGCTGGTCATGTCGTCCCCTGAACTCTGGTGCCAGAGAGCCCGCCCTGGGTGTCTCAGGGGGCTGCCACGCTTGGAGGCTTTCCTTTGGGGCGGTGGCGTCAAAATGCCCCTTGGACTCTTAACGTGCATCCCGGGAAAGAGTTTCCAGCCAGCTGGGACAGGGGCACTGGCTCCTCTGGCCTTGGAGCCGAGTCGCCTCTTGCCTTAAGAAAAAAGCCACCCCGCCGCTCAGCCCGGCTCGTTCCTCCCGCCATCCAAGGTGGGTGAACAATAGTGGAGTGGCCAACCTGTTTATCGTAGACCATCTTGGCCTCCGGTGAGGGTGATCCGGGGCTGCGTCATGGCTCTATTTTTAACTTGGGGTGTTGGTTACCCGGTGGGCCTCAGCTGAGCCGGCAGGAGGAGAGGTTTGTGCTAATTGCAAGCTGGGGCATTGATCAACCGAGCATGGGTTCGTTAGAGCCACCGCTTCTTAATTAGTGTTTATCAGTGGCAAGGAAAGTTGTGGGGGAAAGGGTGTGTGGCGACAGGGGGGAGGCAGGCTGGTGGTTTTCCCTCCAAAACCGGTTGGGGGTCCAGAGACGGCCTGGGCGTGCCCTCCCCAGCAAAGTCACTGTCAGCCCCACAGGTTCCCGCCGGCTGCGGGTCTGTTTGGTGTTGGACCGTAGTCCAAGAATGCTGGGTGAGCCGCGGCTGGGATAGCTGGCCCTGCCGGCGGGGAAAGACGAGAGCTGCCCTCCAGCCTCGTGCCTTTTGCTGGCAAGGCAGAGGTTGGCTCGCCCAGCATCTGGTCTCGCCTGCTGCTGGGTGCAGTCCCGTGGAAGGCCGTTCCAGCCACCACTGTGCAAAAGTGGGCCGATGGTTCCCAATTTCGGAGGCGGGCGTTCCGCACGCAAGCGCTTTCCTGGGCAACTCCGTGGCAGCATCCACCCAGCCGCGAGCGTGGCTCACAGGCGCTTGCAGACGTGGCCTGTGCGGGTGCGGGCTAGGCTGGACAGCCGGTTCCCAGTGAGCCGGAGTACGACCGTTGGAGCTTGAAGCGCTGAACGACCCTGCGCACAGTGAGGAAGTGTTTGCTTTGGCTTGGCATGCCCTCCCGGTCATGGGTCCTGCCAGGTGGGAAGCAACATGACCCTCTTCTCCGCGGGAGAAGGGGGACAGTATGCCGACCCTGCTTAGGAGGCGAGTGTTGGCCTGCAGCTCCCATCAGCCCCTGTCGACGCGACTGTGGAGCAGTGCCTGTGAGAGGGGTGTTTGCATGCGTGGCTGATCCAGAATTAACCAGCGCTGTAACAACGGCTTAAATCTTAAATCCCGAAAACGGGGCACGTCACCCTCTGTGCCGCAAACGTGACTTGCCAAGGCCAGGCCAGTGTGTGGACACCTGCTCTGCAGGTTGCTCGGCTCCCTGTCCTTGCGGTTTATTTCTAGGAACAAGGCTGCAAGCGGTTCGGGGACGACCTGAGAGGCAGCGGGGGCGGTGGAAGGGCGGCGTTTGCCCGTGCTCTGCTCCCCTGGCAACAAGCGGCAGGTTTTGCAGCCTGGAGGTTCTTGGGCAAGTTGCTTTCCTTCGCCCCTCACCGCTTGGCCTTCTGGAATCGAAGGGACACGGTCCCCTCCCACAGCGCTCATTCTGGGAACAGTTACGACGAAATTCCAGGTGTGCCCAGCAGCCCAGAAAAGTTTGTGCAAAGCATCCCAATCGCGGCCGCACAGCAGGCTTGTTGGAAGCTTGCACGGCACCTGAGGGGGCATATTGCCCCCCAGAGGAGAGGAGCTCACATGCACACAGAGCCGTTGCGGGCAGAGAGGCGTGTCAGGAGGCCGAAGCCAGCCCTGCGCTCCCTCGGAGTTTGACTAAGCAGCCCAGGAAGGGAAGGGATGTTACTGAGCCTTTTGTGAAAAGCCCTTTTTTTGCAGGAAAGCGTTTCCAGCACACTCACTCCGGGCGCCTGGGCGGGTGCACTGCGGCTTCTCCCGAGGAGCTCCTCGCTCGCATCCTGCCGAGGCCTGTCGTAACTGCAGCTGCTGCCACCGCCGCTGCGGTTGTGACATCCCAGCCTGGCGAGGAAGTGACTCTCCAGGGGGAGGGCCTGACCCTGGGTGGTGAGCGGTGATGCCACACGCCCACGGGTGCGGGTCAACGACCCTGGGTCCCGGGTCTCTGCGCAGCTCAGCCTTCCCCCTCCCGGCATCCCCGACGTGTTGGACATTGCAGCCCAGCGCCTGGTCGGTCAGTCACAATTGTTGGCCAAGGCCGGCACTTTCTCCTCTTCCTACAGCTCTCCCAACTGCTTTCCAGGGACTTTGGGAAAGCCCGATTGATAGCTTGCCGGCTGATCTCGTTGCCTGGGGCAGGGATGCGAACGGGGCCTTCCCACGCGCAGGGCAGGTGTTCCCCTCGCTCGGGCGCTCTCCCTGACCTCTCTGGTCCCAGCCCTCCGTGTGTAGCTTTACAAATAAGCACCCTGCTGTTATAAGCGATCCCAAAAAAAATTGTTTCCTTCCTGCCGGGACATATTTGGAAGGCATTTGTGACTCATTGACAGCTGAGGAATGACACAACCCTTTCCCAGTTCATAGAACTGTCTGTCGTCGCTCGGTGCTTCTGGAGGAGGAGAATTGGTTTCCGAAAGCTGGAGCAAGGCGGCAGGCGCGCAGACGCGGTTTGGGGCCCGGCTGCAGAAGAGCAGCGCCTGTTGCAGTGGGCTTTGGCCGGAAATGGCCCAGAATGCAACTCTCGGGGTGCCACGAAGCGTCCTGGGCCTGTGTGGGGACATCGGGCGACCCACGTGCCCCCCACAGCAGCGCACCCCGGGTGGTGATGCCTGTGCTGCTGCGCGCACATTCTCCTTATGACAAGACGTAAATGAGGGAAGCACCGGGTTGTCGCGATAGCCGCACCAGGTCTGTGTAGGTGTGCTTAAAAGAAACAGAAAAGGCTCTGAGCATTTGGCGAAATGTGTACATAAGAGCGCAAAAATTATTAAAGGGCAACAGAGTGGGGCTCATTTTTGCTTTTCGGACACATCATGACACTTCACCTGCGCAGGAACGGCGTTGCTTGGCTCCAGCTGGGATCTGCAGCTTTCTCTGCTCCGCCGTTCGGAGATGCGGCAGAGGGCTGCTCGCCGTTTCTCTGTAAATGGAGAGCAGTTACCATGGGATTGAAAAGCAGAGTAGCTGATTTTGTAATCTCCCTCTTCATGTTGCAGAAAGCAAGTGTAATTGAAGGAAGGCATCTGGGGCGGACATGGGAGCGCAGATAACAGGCTGGAATAGGTGCTGGGGCTTATGGGAACCTGTAATTTGAGGAGTGAAAAGGAAATTTACCTCAGTCCAGTGTTTGCTTGTAGCAACGATTGTTCTTAGCCAGTTGGGAAAGGATTCAATAATTAGATTTACTTAATTACATTTTAATGCCACCAGTTGGTGGAAGCTGTCCGGGCAGTTTTGAAAACAAAACTTAAAACCCGAAGCTACAATAAGAGAATTAAAAAGCTTGCACTTGGAACAGGATGGAACTGAAGAAGGAACCAGCAGCAGTGCAAAGGTTTAAACGCACAGTAATACGTTCCTTTATTAAAGTTGAGGGGGCTAAAAAGTGCCCTTGTGAGCCACCCTGAGAGCTCTGGGTGTTGTGGGGCAAAGAAACTGAGCGATCAATTGATCGATTATGCTGGAGGGTTATTTATATGGCCGTCCCTTAGTTTGGTTGCATGGCAAACTTTGGGCAGGTTGCTGCCCTCAGTGGCAGTGGGATCCTTTATGGAGGCTAGCCATAGCCAGCCCCTTTTCTTAAGGACCTTAATACGATCCTCCGCTTCTCCCGTCCCTGCCGCTGGTGAGCTCTCAATTGTGCGTGTCCAAGGATGAGCCGGAGGAGCTGCTGCAGGTAATGTGCACAGAGCGCAGGTCCCGGGGGCCGGGATGGCCCTGCAGCAAGCAGAGGCCAGGCCACACGGAGCGTCTCCCGGCAGGGTGGCCCCCTCTGCACAGGGCCAGCCGAACCCGTGTCCTCTCCCAGGGCCGCCATTCCAGGATGAGCGGGACGTGGTCACGGCCACCTCGACCTCTGCTGGGTGCGATGATCTGGGAAAGGCCGTGCTGAATGTCCCCCGGGCTCTGTCCTGCGTCACACACTCCTAAAATGGGCCGCTGGTCCAGTCTGGCAGGGAGCTTTGGCCTGCGTTCTTTTTCTGAGACACCCGGTCTCGAATGGCCGCCAGCGCATGTGGGAAGCAGACCAGCCCCTCGGCCCAGGTCAGGCTGTTGTGCACACAGCTGGGGAGCAGCCGTGGCTTCCCTCCTTCCCACTGGGACTCGGCCCCTCAGCGGCTTCTTCCTGCCTGAGGCGCTCGCCCCTCCTTGCTGGGCTTGCGCCCTGAGGGCCGGCAGCATGGCCTGGAGGGCCTCTGCCCGTGTGTGGCAAGATTTCCTGCGTGCGCCTCTAGCCCTTTTCTTCTCTGGTGCTGTGCATGGAGCAAAATGTGCGCATCACCAGAGCAGTCTTGAAATGGCACGGCACGGCACAGGCAAGCGGAGACCGATCTCCGCAGGGAGCTGACCTGGTGACTCTGGACCCAGAGTTGCCTTTGCCTGCAAGGCACTGAAGCTTGAATTTTGATTTAGCTGTCATAGGGCCTAGGAACTTGTCTGTCGTCTTCCAAAATGTGTATTTTTTTAAAGAACTGCCTCGCAGCTTGTCCACAGCCCCAAGAGACAGCTTTCTGGGGCAAAGAAAATTATTCCGTCCTCCTCCTGCGTGCAGCTCCAGAACTAGGAACTGGTGATGCTTTCAGCGCATTGCAGAGCAGAGAGTGAGTGCGCGTGTGTGTCAACAGTCCCCGTTGCCCCCTGTGTATTTTTCTTCTTGCCATTCTCGGAATTAGACTTAGGCGGCGGGTGCAACCCAGTATGTGATTCTGGAATAACAAGCCAGTGTGTACAACCAAGCTGGAGCTGGCCCGCGGAGCCTGTAATAACAACACAGGGAGAGAAAAAGTAGTTCCGCAAGGAAGTGGGTTTTGGTTTCCCAGCTCTTGGAGATTTTCTGTGTACCGGAAGCTCAGTGGCATTGCTTGCGGAGCCCTCCTGCCCGGGCTGTAAGAGGGACGCGCCAGGCACGTGGATCCAGCGTGGCGGCAGTGAGGGGGGTGTGCCCCTCCCGGGCCTCTCCGCCTGCCGCCGCTCACCTGTGCAGCGGCCACCTGGCAGGGCGCTCCGCGGGGAAGGTTGCAGGACCAGGGGCCAGGTGACCGGTGTGTGTGAGGAAAGAAGACCCAGGAGGTGGGGGAGCCGAGGGGCAGCGAGGCAGCACCCTCGCAGAAGCCTGGCTGGCCCTCGGGCGGAACTTTGCTGCTTCCCTGCCTCGCTTGCCTAGGGCCAGGCCTGGGCATCTTAGCCGGAGGGAGCTGCTGCGCCCACGCCCTGCTGGGTGTGTTTCCTGCAGGCATTGCCCCCTCTGCCCCAGGTGGGGAGAAAATGACAGATGGACCAGGCTTGGGCTGCCCCCCTGAGCTGTGGCTAGTTGGCACCACCGTAAGAGCACCGGGGCACCTGTTAGCGGGGAGCTGTCACCTGCCGCCTGGCCTCGCGGTCTTCTTTTGGGTCCTTGCTTCGGCATGCCCCTTGGGTAGTTAGAACCTCCCCCTCGCAAAGGTTCCCTCTATTCGTTTCCTGCCGTCTTCTCACGCTGCACCTGCAGGATCTTGGAAGAGTGTGCAGAGTGCAGGGGAGGGCACGTGTCGGGGTATTCTGTCGCTTCCCGACAGGACAGCTAGTCCACAAGTAACTAGTCCTCAAAACAACAAAGAGCCACGTGGCACCTTGACGATTGAGGCTTCTGCTTATTTGTCCCCAAAAGCTTCTGCTGGAATACGGATGTGCCTTTGTCCCTGAGGCGTCCCATGGCTCTCGGTTGGTTCTGCTGCCCCAGAAACCATGCCATGGCTGTTTCCAAGACTTGCCACACTGACCTACCTGCGCTTCTGACTCCCAGGAGTGGGGCCTTGTCCTTTCCACCCACCCGCACCCGGGGGAGCTGTCAGAAGCGTGCAGTCCTGAGCAGAGGGCTAGGAAGACGCCACGCACCTTTCAGAGTGTGCCACGGGCTCGGCAGGGCTTCGCACACTCCGGGTCCTCCGTAGGCGAGGAAGGGCTCTTGCGCCCCTCTGCGATCGCCCTTCTGCAGGCGCCTAGGTCCCCTCCAGCAGCTGTGGATTCAGCCTGGCCCCATGGCGTGCTGAGGCGGAGACGCCAATGCTGGACGTTGCAGGCGGCTGAACCGCCAAGCTGCTCGCCGCGTCACCTCAGGGACCGAGAGAGGCGTCTTTCGTGAGCGAGGTCCCCAGGCCCCTGAGCAGCAGAGCCGCACTTGTTTGCTTCTGGCTGTCGCGTCCGCCGCGAGTCGGTGGAGGAGAAAGAGTTCAGTGCGCCTACACGCGCCTGCACCAGTCTTCTCCAAGCGGGTTCTCTCCAGGTGTGTCGGACTGCAGCTGGTTGGGGAGGATGGGCGCTGTGGTCCAACGCATCTGGGGACCAGGCGGGGACGGCTGTTTCGTGTCCTTCCTACACCAGGCCAGGACGGAAGAGAAGGTTTGTGAAGCTCCCCCTGCTTACCTGGGGGGCAGGTTCACTCGCCACAGGCAACCCGGTAGTTGAGGCGTTTGCCAAATGCGCATTCAGACCCTCAGTGCCTTGATTCAGTGTGCCCAGTGTGCTTTCTGTTTGGAGGATTTCTTCAGAAGGATCTGAGCCCATTCCGTTTGCAGGCAACTTCTCTCAGAAACCAAAAGCTGGAAAGATGCGAGTCGGTTTTCTCTTTGTTTCCTTCCCTGCTTGGAAGCCAGGGACTTTTCAGCCCTGAAAGAAGAAGTTGCCAGGGAAGAGGGCATCGTGGGATTGTGCGCGCACTCTGGACTTTGGGGCGAGCTCTTTGGCAACAAGAGCAAAGCGGGGTGCTGGGCGGAAGGGTGCCACCGGGGAGTCTCCTCTTGGAGCAGTCCGGTCTGTCCAAACCAGCCGTGGGGAAGGGGGAAGCCCGTTCCTTCTGATACAGAGAGCTCGGCCCAAATTCACGTTTCATTCTCGGTTGATGGCAATGACAAAACTGGGTGCCGCTCCCAGTTTTTATGGAGGCGGCGCTTTAAAAACCTGCGTGCAGCATTTGGGAAGTATCTGACGGCCGGAGGGGTAGGGAACACAATTCCTGGACAGGAGGGTTGCCCTGGAGCGCCCTTGGTGACGCGGCGCACTCTCCATGTGCCCAACTACAAGTTCCATCAGCCTGCGATGGAAGCTAAACCCTGCACCCCACACCAGGTGGCAGAATGGCCCAAGTTTCCTGGGGCTCTTAAGCTATCAAGGCCACCATCCTTATTAAACCTGTTCAAGCCAAGGGGAATAATATAGGTATTTGTGTCCGGTTTTGCATGTGTGGCTCAGCTAATCGGATTTCTCCTCTTCTCTCTAGGACTCTTTGGTACTCAAGCCATCGATTCAGTTTCAGGGAAACCGGGGGGTAAGTCCATGGCCTGCGCGGTGCAGCAGAAGGTCCATGCCTGTGTTTTGCGAGGCTAATTCTGTGTGCGGGTTTGTTTTCAACTTGGAAGGTGTGCAGAGCCCCAGATCAGCGGGCCTGTGGCACCCCCTCGGGGGAAGACAGCAGCACGTTCCCATACCTGGATGCTCCCTGGAGCTGCCCCTGAACTCTCCCGCCTCCCCCGCTCGGCCCGTCCCTGCCACGTGCTTTTCAGCAGATGGGCTCCTGTGCGGCACCCGGTTGCAGGGGCCTGGGGGCAGGACAGGAGGGAGCCTGGGGGGTAGCAGAGCCCCTTCCGACGTCAACGCGCAACGTCCCACGGCAGTTTTCTGGCCGTGCCGTGCATTCCTATCCTCAAGCACTTGTAGGCGGCTTCCAAAGACGGAAGCCCTGAACATGTCATGCAATGAGATGAAACTATTTATGTGCAAGGAATGTGCAGAACTATTTTGCATAATCAGCAATAAAAATCCCGGGGCCCCCAACAAAAGGGGTCGCATTGGTGCTGTGCAGACCTCGCTAGGGAGAGCTTTCGGAAGTTCTGGGGGCACCTCTAAGGGGTGCCTCCCCCTTGCAGGTAAGCTCACCCTGGGAGAGGTGTGCCAGCAGGTCCAGAGTTGCAGGAAATGGCTTTACAGCTTGATCTGGACTTGGAAGCATCCAGGCTGCCTCTTGCGGTCTGCAAAGCCATTGAAAAATGGCTTGAAAAAAGATGAAAAATGTCCGATCACAAAAGCTTCCTTCCCCAAGCGGTCGCGCTCGGGATCTTTTGGACTGCGAATCCCAGCAACCTCCATCTGGGAGTTTTGGCCCTTCACAGGCGGGGGGGCACCACACTGGGGAACTGTCCTCAAAGCAGGACGGTGCACAGGGCAAAATGCCTTCTCTTTGAAGTGGTAATTCTTGACAGCTTCCGCAAAGAGAGGATCTCCAGGAAACGACGCTTGACAGACACATCCGGGCTACTTTAAATCCTCCAAAACAGTAAAATAAAACAAGCAGAAATCACACAATTAAATTAATAAAATACCAAGTGGCTGCCTGAGCCCCAGAAGTCCTGATGGGCAAAACGGGTTCGGGATGCAGGTGTGATCATCAGCTTCTCCCTGATCTGCCCGCAAACATGCTCTCTGTGCTCCACACCCGCCGGGCCTCTTCTGGAGAGCTTGTGGCGCCTGGGCCTGGTTCACGGACACTTTACTGGTGCAGAAGAGCCAGGATCCCGTGGTCCTGCCCTTGGTCCTTGCTTGCCATCAAACTTTCTCCGTGCCCAAACACCTGGCCGGGCTCAGGTCGTGCTCCTGAAGGTCTCTGGCGCCTTTGTTGGGCTCCATTGAAAGCCGGCCAGCGTTGCGGCCTGGCATGGTGGGGCATTTGCCCGGGATCCCCTGGCAAGAATCCTGGAATTCACTCGTCCTGTCCTGCACTGCACCCAAGAGGTCTGGGCACCCCATTGGCACTGGTGGCAGAGGTGCAGGGGGACTCGCACGGTCACCCCCCAGCCCACCACAGCTCCCTTAACTCACCTGAAGGCCAGCCTGCCCTCCATGGAGCTGGTGAGGGGGCTCTTGCAGTGACCCTTGGAGGCTGCGAGTCTCCTTCCGTCTTGCTCTTTCTCTCTTGCCAGCTTAGCTCAGCTCTTCCGAACCAGCCTTCTCTCGCTACTCCGTGCTAGAAGATTTGTGAAGGCACTGCAAGGGAGAAGGAAGGCCGTAGCCGTTTGCCTCTGGAAAGGTGTCCAGGCAGGGCAGCCATAATCCTTTCCTGAAAGGACTGAACCAGTCACACAAATGTGACTGTTTTTTAAGAACGGTCCTGGCTTTGAGCACTTTTTAAAAGTCCCATTTTGCTTTCATATTTAATCTGCCAGAGAAGTAACAGCTGCAGGAAACTTGTTTTTACCCTTCTCTGCCAGAAAGAACATATGTAATGACACTGAAACTCAAAACGGGTGGTGAAGTTTTACTTTTTGCCTCCTCCTCACTTCCCAAACTCTCTTCCTTTTGCATCATGTCTTTAGATTGTCCGCCCGAAAGCACAGAATGTTTCACAATTAAGCTTTGTAAGCAGGTCAGGGAGCCCTTTTGGGCTGCACAGTGATAAAAATGTGGTAAGCAGAAAAATGACCATGCAGGCATTTGGCATGTTAATGCTTCTGTCCTTCAGTCTGTTCCAAGTCAGCGACCGAGTGGAAGTTCACTTCAGACCTCCATGGTTCCTCCTGCTTGTGGAGCAACCCACATTTTCTTCTTCATTTTGCTTTTTATTTCTTCCAGCCAGTTTTCAGTTAATACAGGTCTTTTCCTCTGGAGCCAGGGTGGACAGTTCAGGGAAAGAATCCCCCTGTAGACAGAATCCAGCATTCTGGGTTCATAAGCTTCCAGTCCTCATGGGGGCAGTGGTCCATCCAAGAGCTCCACGAGTTGGGAAGGCGCAGGGTGAAGCCTGTAACCTGGGAGGCTGAGCTGACAGGCACCCTTTTATTACTGCCGTTCTGAGCCACTGAGAGGGCCCGAAGAGTCAGCAATGGCGCAGTCTTGCTTTCGCTTTCTTTGCCTCACTGCCATCCTGAAAGCTCAGCCAAACCTCCGGTCCCAAACACCTGGAGTGCCCAGGGCTGGGGAAAGTCTTGGCTGGTCCAGCAGGCCGTGCCGGGCTGGCATGAAGCTGTGCGTGACTGTGATTGACGCTGAAGCTGCTTCATGGAACGCAACTTCTCACGTGGCGTGGCAGGAGTTCAGAAGAGAAGTGTGCCTTAAGGCCGACTTTACGAGCTCCTAGCCAGGGCGAGCGCGCAAGATGGCTTTTGCGGGCCCAGCAGAACCAGCACAGAGCTCAAAAGGAGCAATGTCTCACATTCACTCGCAGACTTCCTTTTTACTTCAGATATGAATTTTGACTAGAAAAACAAAACCGCCGTTATTCTATTCCTGGTAGGCTGCTTGGTAGAAACCAGGCATTTTCTCATTTCGGTGTTGTTTCACGCAATGGCTCATAAGAGAGCAAAAGTCACAGCTGCAGCTGTTCTGTTCTTGAGGGCAGGTGGTGGCCGGTGAAATAAACAGCAGCATCAGAGCCTGCATGCCCTCCGAGAGCCCCCTCCGCCACGCATCCCCGAGTCCCTCGAGCATCTGCCGTAAATAATCATTCCCAAGAACTGCCGGCGAGATCCACTCTGGTACCGAAACGAACCTGACCTGGCGGAGTGTTAATGAGGAACTGGAGGCGCAGTGTGACGCTCTCCTCCCCACTCACTTTGTACAGCTGTCAAAGAAATTCTGCAAAAGTACCAAACACAAGCGCTGCACGGTGCCCAGGTCGCCCGCTTGCTGGGCGGCCCCGAGGGGCGTTGTTTCCAGTGATGCATGTAGGAAGCTGGCTTCTCGGGGCTTTCTCTGGCAAGCTTTCTTCCTGCATGCAGGTTGCTCCGCTGTGCGTGTTCTCCTCAGAAAGGGAGCATTTAAAGGGCTCGTGGGAGCACAGCAAGGCAGCCTTGCCCCTTCCTGCCTGGTCGTTGGCTTTCGGTTTTTGCTGGCAACGAAGCCCTTTTCTTCACGGGGAAGGCCTTTAACTAGCCCTTTGCTTGCTTGCTTTCTTTCCGTGTTCCCGTGATCACTTTCCCCTGATCCCCTCTTCCCTCACCTTCCGCGTGTGTTTTCGATTTTCCCTCCTGCCCATCTGTTTTCTTCTGGCATTCTTTTTAAACATTGTAAGCTGCTTTGAACACTCCTTGTTGGAGAAGAAAGGCAAGTGAGGAATGCTGTCAATAGATACCTGTGGAAGACAAATCAGAGTTTGCAATTCACACGTCTCAACATGGGCACCCACAGACGCTCTCTGGATGTTTCGCTTTCGCTCTCCTGGTCTCTACTGGGCCGCTGTCTGCAGCACTTCCCCCCACTTCCCCCACCCATCTCTCACTCCTTGACATTTGGCCATTTCTAACCAGTTCATTAACCTTCTGGTTGTCATCCTCAAATGCAAAATTAATGCTTCTTAGCACACGTCTTAGGAGAGGGGTTCCCTCCCTGCTAGAGAGAGGACGCACACCCCGTCTCCGGCTACAGCGCCCACGTCACCCAAGACCCCTTCCAGCTGGAGGGTTGCGTATGCCCATCTGCAGGACCGTCTTTTCTTTCCCTCCCTCTCCTCTGCAGGAGAACTCCAGCAGTGGCTTGGCTTATCGAAGGCCGGGGAATGCTGAGGCGCCTCCGCTCCCATTTTCTGACCACCGCCGAGGTTTAACTTTGCTGCTTTGCGTTTCAACAGCACATCACAATACCCCGGCCAGACTGCCCGGCAGGAGTGCAGACGTTCTTGTTCCACCTTTCCAATATCGGCAAGGACAACCCTCAGGGGAGTTTCGACTGCATCCAGCAGTATACGTCCAGGTGAGGCCCTTCTGGGCTCCAGGAGGAGTGTGTGGCAGCTCTTGGGGAAGGGTCCGGCTTAGGTAGCACCACCAGCACCGTGTGTCCCGTCCCCCCCGCCCGAACCCCTGCCAAAGGAGACTCCCTTGGCAGAGGTCATCCTGGATGTGTCTACTCCGAAGTAAACCCACGGAGTTTAGTAACACTTACTCCCATGCTAGCATGCATCCGATTCAGCCCTTTATTTTTAGCCGCTTGGGCTGTGTTTTGGTTTGGCCTGCCAGTGGAAAAGTGGTTGTTTAAAGTTGTCCCTCAGCGTGCCGTTGTACAGGGTTGTTACACTGGGGCTGCTGCTCCGTTTAATGTGGTATAGACCCCTCTGAGCTCTCGACAAATTCTCCCAACAAATGCGTGGATGCCAGCTTCCGGGAGGTCGACAAAGCAGGGGAAAGCCGCGCAAAGCCAGTTTGGGGATGGGATGGCAGAGGCAGTTTTAGGATTCCAAGACACTGAGAAGGTCCAGTCCAGTGGACCCCCAACATTCGCCTGGGGGCAGGGGCCTGGGAGTGTTTGGTCCCTGCTCTCCAAGGTCCTCCAGTTGTTGAACCGAAGCGCCAAATGCGGAGTCCGGTCCCAGCGCCGTCTCGGCTGGTGCAGAAAGAACTGCGTTGCTGCCTCTCCAGGGCTGGAGAGCTAAAGGAGTGTGGCGTGGCAGCAGAGAGGGGAGGCCGCAGGGGTGACCGTTCCACCACATCCAGGTGACGCCCCACCCTCCTCCCTCCCTCTCCATCACATTTCAGCGGAAGAGGCCTGGTTGCTGACAGTAAGGCACTTACGGTCTGTCTCCCCTCCCCCACAGAATAGGGCACACGCAGCTGGATTGCCTTGGCAGCATCCAGGACAAGATTGCCATCCGCGCCACCGACGAATCCTACGAGAAAGCAAAGCAAACCATGGCCCAGGTAGAAGAGGAGACCCGAAGCCGTGGAGCCATCGTCATCAAGCCGGGGGGCCGCTATGTGGGTAAGAGGCACTGCTTTCCATCTTCTCAGCGAGCGTTTCTGGGCTCGGCGGCTACGCCTGAGAGGGCGAGATGCTTCGGAGCAGCCACGGCCATTCTGTCCATTGCGTGATGGTGGCGTGTGTTACGCATGTTTAACGTCTCAGTCCCCTTCCTCTGTGGAGCAGCTTGCAGCGCAGCCGGGAAAACAAGGTGCTCCCTGCAATGCAGGTTTGCCATGTGAAAGGACACGGCACACAAGGAAAATGGGGTGGGCAGGGAAGAGGAAAAAAGCAGAAGGCGTTCATCCGGCTGGTAGCATGGCCCTGCTGGCCTCCTGCCCCCCTTCCGCTGCGTGGCCTGCTGGTATGAATGCCAGGGGTGACCTCCGAGTCCCCCGAGGGAGTTTTGCAGAGGGGATTTGAGAATGAGAATGGAGGTGCCGGTCAACCTGGATGAGCGGACCATGATGGTGGCTGCTTTGTGGGCATCTGGCAGCAAGCCTTTTATGCTTTTCTGGTGAGTGGATGGCCCTCACATTTTCCCTGATTTTTGGAAAAACAGTTTTGATGGAGCTTGCAAAGAAAACAAATTAGTCAGGGCTGTCTCGGCCCGGGCGGCTGCATTCTTGTCTGCTAAGCGGTACCCCTGGGGGAGGCGACTGGCTCTCAAGTTAGTGGCTCTGATCAAACCCCTCTGCAGTCGATGGGACCCGCATCAGCGACAGCTGCACGGGAGTCCAGTGATTTCAATGGGACTGCTGCTTGTAGGGCTGAATCTGGATCCAGGCCAAGAGTGGGAAAGCACACGGGGCTCTCTCTAAGAATCCCGCAGCGGGATAAGTCGGTCTCTCCCCCAGAGCGTGGGGAGGCCGGCCGGAGCCAGACGTGGGCGGGTTCCATTCCCGACTTCCAGGAGGCAGGCAAAAGGTTCTCTGTCCGCCTGCCCTGGCCTCACTCATGGCGGTGCTGCACTCTGGCAGCCTGTACCCGGAGTGGGACCCTGGGGGACATTCTGGCCTGCAAAGCCCAGCACGCCGCGCCACTGGCCGTGCCAGTCAGGCTGATGGGAGTGGGAGTGGAGACCCGTGCCGTGATCCTGATGTGTTTCTCAAAGTGAGCATGTTTTAAATCCCTTCATTGGTAACGGGAGAAGGAAACGAAGGTGCGCTCTGTCCCGACTTGCTGCAGCGGAAGCTTTCCTGCCCTGGTGGGGGTCGGACTGGATGGCCTCCCAGCTCCTTTTCCCCCGTGGCAGCTCTTTTGCGGCGGTTCCCAGGCAGCCTCCCAGAGACTGAGGATGCCCCGTACGGCCCAGACCGCGAGACAGTCCTGTGGGACAGACGAGCGGGGAGAGCCGGGGAGGAAGGCACCCATGGGGCACCTCTGCGTCTGTTCTCCGACGCCTCCGACCAGCTCAGTCAGTCCGCAGCTGCCTGCAGGGGTGGAACTCCCGGGCGCTGGGCCCTGCAGAGCCGCAGGGAGGGGCCACGGGGCCTGCCAGTGCCCCCCTCCCTCCTCAGAGCTTGGGCGCAGCTGCACCCTCTGGGTTGCTGAAATTGCCCCGACTCCTCCTTTGTTTTAGCCAGCCAGGCGCTTCAGGAAGGAAGTAACTCGCTTTCCTGTGTTCTGGGAAGAAGGCGCTCGTTGCTGGAGCGACCCTTCTCAGCCGGCCTTGGACGGGGCTGTCCCCGCCGCACCATCGCCCACGGCAGGGATGGCAGGGAGGATCCCTGCGGGCCGGCTTGCCTCCATGTCGACGGGCTCCACTTCTCTCACAGAAGTGCCCCCCACCCCTCTGCAGGCCCAGCTGGCTCCCTCCAGTCCGGGTGTCTTGGGCATGCAGGCGTGCGAAGACCCACTGTCCCCATACCTGGGAGCTCACCAGGTTCAGGAGGATGGATCCAAGTTCTCTGCGAAACCTTGAAGCCGGAGGTGCCCTTTGCCCTCTCAGCAAGATTGGTGTTTGTTTGTTTCCTTTCTTAAAAAAACACTGAAGGAGCAAGAAAGCCATGTGCTGCCAGAGAGCTGTCAGCGCAGCTTTGGCCCCATCTCTGCTCCACACTGAATCCACACGGCTCACTCCGCTTCCGGCACTTGTGGGGGAGCCCTGTCGGGCACGCCAGGTTGCACTGGAGGCTGGCGGCAAACTTAGCAGATGCTCCTCCCTGGCCATCTGCACAATTGGACGGCAGAGTATGAGCTCTGGCTCGCAGGCGAGGCTGCAAGGTCACCGTCCATCGCTGCGGCTAGAGAAGATAGTGGCTCGGGCGTGTGGGCAGCTCTCCAAGGCCACGGTTTAGCCTGCTCGGAAATAGAAGGGGTGATGTCAGGCCCAGGGTGCCCGGCCCTGTCGCCTGGTGCCCGCTCCTCATCACCCCGCCCGCGTCCGACTCGGCAGCGCAGGGGCACCTGCAGGCGTGAGCGCGAGTCCTGCACTTCCGTATTCTGCTACACTCTGGTCACACAAACGGAGCCCCGTACCTCAGGCAGCCTCCTTGTGCCCAGTGCCCTCCAGCACTTCTGCATCCCCCGGGAGCTGCCACGGGCGGCAGAGGCCACCGTCCGGAGTGCAAAATTGTATGTCTCTGTTTCACCGCCCCTGTGGAAGGGGCTCCAGGCTGGCTTTGCCTCGGGCTCGCGGGGCCCCGACTAACCAAGCTTTTGCCTTGTTCCTTTCCCCCGCCGCGCCCCACAGGCAAGACGGTCAAAATACGCAGGCCGGCCCCAGCGGTGTCCGACGCCGTCCCCTCACGGGTCCGCCCAACGCCCGTCAACCTGGCCAGCGCCATCAAGAAGGGCAACAGCGCCGTCTCCCAGCGGCCCCTCAGGGACCGGGTGGTGCACTTGCTGGCCCTCAAGCCATACAAGAAGCCGGAGCTGCTCCTGCGGCTGCAGAAGGACGGCCTCTCGCCACATGACAAGGATGCCCTGGACGGCCTCCTGCAGCAGGTAGCGCGGCGCTCGGCCCCGAGCACGGAGAGCGCTCCGCCGACGCCTTCGCGGTCGCGCGCAGGATGGGGTGGGCGGGCACGGCTCGCCTCGCCCCTCCCCTCCCCTTGAACGGCGTTCCCTTCCTCTCGCCCCACAGGTGGCGAACGCGAGTGCGAAAGACGGCACGTGCACTCTGAAAGATTGTCTCTACAAAGAGGTGCAGAGGAACTGGCCGGGCTACTCGGACGGAGACCAGCAGCTGCTGAAGAGGGTCCTTTTCCGGTAGCCGTTGTTTTGTTTTCTCTTACATTTGTGCGCTGCCCCGCGGCCCATAAGGCTCTCCGGACAGCTCGCAAGCGGGCGAGAAGTGCCGACTCAGTCAGGCAAGCACGAGACACGATATTCCCTGTGAGCGAAGCAAGCACTTGGCAGAACCGTACAGTGCATGATGTCAGCAATAACCAAGTGCAGCTGTAGTCCCCGTGTGCGTGCACCCCACGACGCAGCGGGTGGCCCCGACAGCGGGCGGCAGTGCGCTTTGGCACCTGTTTCTCGGGCGGCGTCTGTGAGGAAACGGGCCGGTCTCGGGGGCCCTGTCCCTTGTTCAGGGTTAGGGCCGCTCCGTCGCGCACGTTAGCTCTTCCCTGCCGGCGTCTCCCACGGCTCTCGAGGACTTCCGAGCTGGGCTGTGGGGCCTGCTCCTATCCGAGGGCTGCCCTCGGGTCTAGAGATGCGTTTGGGGGCCGTGTTCCGGCTGAAGGCGAAGGGGGGCAGGCCCAGGATACCAGCTGGAAGCTTCGCCTGCCATGAAATGAGCCCTCAGAGGGGCCTGTCAGCCTTTTAAAACGGCCGCGGGGCAGAATCATCCAATCCCGGTGCACATGATCCCAAAGGCCTTGGAGGAAAAGCAGAGACAAAGCAATGGATGAAGCGGTCTGGACACAGCCCCAGAGTGGATCCCGGCCCTGAGCTTTTCTGGAGCTGGGGCCCGTGCAACCCCAGGCACTTCTCATTGTCTTGTGCTTCTATTCTGCAGCAGCAGAAAAAAGCGCAGAGGAGGCATTAGGCTTGGTTATTTGTTTCTTGACTTTTTAAAAGTCAAGTCTCTAGTCCTCAATATTCAGAATTCTTAGAATTCTGTGAGCAGTGCCTGCTGGGACGCTCAAGAGGCCAGGGTGGTGGTGAGGTTCACAGTGACTGGTAGGGGTTGGGGTCACTTCTCCCCACGGATAAATGAAAGAGAGAAGCCTTGCTTTTCTACGGGCGGGCACAGCACTGGTGCTTGTCAGCACGAACTGCTCTGCTGGGAGCCCTCCAGGCCAGCGTTGCCCTGGCGTTGTTTGCCCAGCAGGCCGTATCCTTCCCAGCGTCTATTTTTAGTCTGCTGCTCAGCCGAATGCCACCATCGCCTCTGGAAGTGGATTCAAGCCGGTACAAGAGCCCTCCCCATGGCACGATTTTGGGCAGGCCGTTTGTAGTTGGTAATTTTCCGTTTAATTGCAATCCAGGCTCCTGATGCATTCCAGGCCCCTCTCCGTTTGCCAAGGAAAACTCTTGGCATTTCAGACTCCCGTTAAACCAACAGCGTCTCCTCTCCAGGCCAGATGGGGCTTTGCAGACAGAGGGAGCTACTCAAACAGGGCACGGGAAGCGGAAGGAGAGAAGAAGGTTCTGTTCGCCTCCAGCAAAGAGCAACCTGGCGGTCAAAATGCAGGAACCGCCGTGTGTGGGCAGCTGCTGCCCCTCCTGCTTCATTCATTGGGGCAGTGGGGAAGCAGCATTTTTGGGTGGCCGGTCCAAGCTGCCGGCCACCTTACGGGGACGCTTCCTGCTGGCCATACTCAACTGGCCTGTTTACCTCGGAAAGCGTTGAAAAAAGAGAAAGAAAATAGTCTGCAGGGCAGGGAATTCCCCCGAGTGCCATCCAGCCCACCTGCAGTGCCTTCACCTGCTTCCAGCATGCGCCTGCAGGTATTCTCAGGGCAGGAGAGGGGGCTCTTGGCAGGGCCTGGAGCCCCCCACCTCCATCCATACACCCCGTTTTCTGCACGGCTACTCTGGCACCTGTCTTCCTTTCTGACTTTGCCCTTCCTTAAGTCACCTGACATCAATTTCCAGCAGCCGTTCGGAATCAAGACAGTTTCTTCCTCCTACCTTAACTCCAGATGGGCCAGCAGTTTGGCTCGGCTCAGCTCCTTTCCTCTCCTCTCCTCTCCTCTCCACCCCACCCCACCCCCCTCCAAAAGAGGCCAGTTTGCACTGCTGCTGAAAGCCCATCTCAAAAAATTGGGTGGGGGGAGCGGGATCCCAGCTTCTTCCCCTTCTTTTTGGATCAGCCCTTCTCCAAGAGACCAGATTGTGCAGGTGACGGTCCAAACTGCCAGAGAGTTCGAGGATTCTGTGAGTTGCCTCTTAGGATCCACAGGTTGCCCAGAGCCGGGCCCTGAATTCAGAGTGTTCTCAGTAGCGCCAGAGGAGAACCCAGACCTGGAAGCTCTTGCACCGCCCCGTTCCCGAGGCCACTCTTTCCAACAAAAGCCGCGCCTCCTCGTCTTCTCGCGTTCTTGTGTCTGCTGGGCGCTTTCCTTTGGCCCCGAGGCCAAGTCCATCTGATCCCCCTGCCGCTGCCGCCAGTGGCCGGCCATTCGGGGGCTGCCTTCTGCTCGATTCCTGAGCGGGTCACTCCTCTCCGGTGTATTCACAGGAAAAGCTTTAAGTCGGGACACAGGGAAGCGAGCTATCCTGCCCGGTTTTTATCAGATCTTAAAAACCGGTTCTCGCTTGCTTGCTAGTGCTTTGCTGTGTGTGTTTCTGGCAGAACTTGGCCCTGCACGGCGGCGCTTCACGCCGCCTCACAAGCCCCTTCCGACCCCTCCAATCCTGCTTTTTTCTCTCCTCTCCTCCCACAGAAAACTCTGCCCGCCACCGAATGACCTGCCACCAGAAAACCTCACTGCCAGTTCGCCAAAAGACAGCGCAAATGCACCCTCCTCCTCCCCTCCCCAGGTAGGCCGCAGGTCCTCGGGGCTCGTGCGGAAAGCGTTGGTCAGCTCTTCCGCCTCCAGGTGGGCCAGAGGGCTCCCAGCCGTCAGGGTGGGGCGACGGAGTGGGTTCCTGTGCGCCCCCACCTCCACACGGGCGCATCCAGCCAGCCTCTCCCACCCTGGCAGCCCCTCACAAGTCAAGGACTGCGACGCCTCTGCCTGGGAGCGATGGCTGTTGCCGTCTAGCTCGTCCGGGAGGCTGCCGGGCTGGGGGAGACAGCCAGGCCGCCGCGTTCAGAAAAAGTGGAAACGTCTGGTTGCTCAGCCTCTTGAGGGAATCGGTTGGACTTTGGCCTGGCACTCGCTCGCGAAAACAGACCATGTCCCGGTGGAAGCATCTCCCTCTAGCGGTGACAAGAGTGCAGGCCTCGAATCGAGCCTTGCCAGAGCAATGATGCCCCGCTTTTCACCGTGCGCTTCCTTTCTCCCGGTTCCCCCAGAAGCGGCCCCACCCCCCGGAGTTCACGGACCCCCTGCTCAGCAAAAAGCACCGGATCTCACACTATGCCCAAAGGACTCAGGCCACGCTCAATGGCAAGCTGAAGCCCACCAGCAAGAAGGAGGTGCCTTCGCCTTTCCCTGCAGCCCCGGCAGACACGGCCGGCCGCAGCCCCATCCCCGCGGCCCCAGAGCCGCCCAGACCCCACGACCCGCTTCACAACGTCAGCAGCGAACCAGGCTGCAGCAAGGACAGCCACCCAGCGGAGCCCACCAAGGTGGCGGCGGTGGTGGCAGCCCAGCTGGCCACGGACCCTGCCCCGGCAGACAAGCCGAGCCCTGCCCGGCACTGCAAGGCCAAGAGGAAGATGAAGAGGCACCAGGAGGAGGAGCAGCTGTGCCAGGAAGGGCCCGACTACGACCCGGAGGAGGGCAGCTCGGGGATGTGCCTTTCCAAGAGCGGCAGAGGTGGGTGCTCGGCTTGGCCGCTGCAGGAGCGGGGGGCAGAGGGGCGCCTTGGCCACATCGTGCGGGAATCGCCCGTTCTCCCTTGTGTCGGAGAGGTCTCACCCCTTTCCAGAGCTTCAGCGGCCGGCAGTGAGAGCTGGAATAGGGCAGGGGCCGCGGGGGCCCTTTCGCTCCTCCCTGGCTCCCTTGGCCTGCCCATCCCTACAGCGTGCCCCCGAGGGAGGTGTGCTGCCCCCTGTTCGGAGGATGCGCGTGTTGTGTTGACGCCTCTGAAAAGGTGGGGGCAGCTCTCTCCTTCGAAGGTGACTTCCACCCAGGGAAGCGGCTTCCCTTCCTCTTCCTCCTCCTCCTCCTCGCCAAGGCAGGCACTGCTTCTCCCGTAACGTAACGTGGACTGAAGTTAACGGGCGTGGCCGGAGCGGCGCTCCCTCTCAATTCGCGTCTGTTTCTCCTCCTCCCAGGCCTGAACGGGATGTGCAGCGGCCCCGGCAGCAGCGTGCCCATGCCAGACTTGCCAGATTACTTGCTGTAAGTTTTTGCGGTGCCGCAAGACCAGGCCGGGCCCCTGCTGCTGCCCCAGCAGGCGCAGGGACAGCTCCGCCGCTGGCTCATTTCGCCCTCTCTCTGTCGACTCCAGCAAATACAGCTCCATCCTCTGCGCCGAGCAGCGGCAGAGCTACAAGAATGACTTCAATGCGGAGTACGGCGAGTACCGCAGCCTTTATGCCCGCATCGAGCAGATCACACGCCGGTTCATGGAGCTGGACTCGCAGCTGAAGCAGCTGTCCCCCGGCTCGGACGAGTACAAGGTGGGCCGGGGGAGCGGAGGACGCGGGTCCCAGCCTCGTGTGAGGAGCGGCTCCCGAGTAGAGGGGACGGGCGGGGGCTCTGCTTGGCTGGGGTCTTTCTTCATCAGGCCTGTGGTGCCCGCCGGGAGCAGGAAGGGCCCCTCGGCGGGCTCTTCCGGGCGGGCTGGAAAAGGCCCTTCCCACACAGGCTGCCTCCAGGCTCATAAGCCGTCTTCCCTTGCAGATGATCCATGACCAGATCCTGCAGGAATACCGGAAAATTAAAAAAGTGAGTTCATGGACCGCTTTCCTCTAACTAGCACGTGGGAAGGCAAGGAGAACCGTTCTTGGCAGCTGGGCCTGCCCCCTGCACCGGCGGGAGGGTGCTGGAGGGAATGGCGACCAGGCTGGCCCCCGCGGCCTGTCTGGGACCACAGCTCTCCAGCCCCAGCCAGGAGGAGAAGCCTCAAGCGGGGCTCCGGAGCACGCACGTGTGGGACCAGGCGGGCCAGGCTGGCGGTAGCGTGATGGGAGTTGTGCTCCAAAGTGCCACCACGTGCTCATTGCGGGTGCGGAAGGCAGGGCCCCTCTCACCTCTGGGTCTTGCCCAGACCACGGGAGCCAGGAGCTAAGCCAAGATAGGTGCCGGGATTTGCTTTCAGGGGACAACGTGAAGGATCCGAGGAAGGCCTGCCCCCTCCTTTTTTCCACTTTCCCAAAGTGGGGCAGGGGTCTCCAATCTGTTTTGGCCCAAGGACGCATTTCAGGATGGGAGGAACTGCGGTGGCTCCACCACCACAAGCCTCTGTCGGTGCCTCACCCATTTGGCGCGTCCGTGGAGCTGTTCCCGAAAACAGTCGCATCTTCTGGTCACCACAACACCCCCCAGCTGATTAACCTGGCTAGCATTTATCACACAAGAAATTTTGTACGGGCGGGCTTTGCTCTTCACAGGGCACATGTGCTCTTCCAAATTATTCACCTGCTTTTTGGAAATCGGGGAATGGTCTGCATCCATGCATTGTCCTCTGTGCTCTGCTGAGAACCGAACGGGTGGTAATAGCACATGGGAAAGAGAAACTGCGGGATCGAGGGCCTTCTCGCCCTTCCGATATGCGAAAGCTTGGCCTCTTGATGCCCCTGTGGGCATTTCTCCCACTTTTGTAGAAATAGCTATAAAAATTTTGTAAAAATTAGCGACACCTGACTTGTGTACGTGTGCTTGAAAATGGGATACGAAACATCAAACCTTGGGTGTCCCCTGGAGGCCCCCCAGTGCCCAGCCTCGGAGGTCCCTGTGATGAGCGGGCTGGGGAGGCGCCCTACCCCCCACCCCCACCCCTTTTCTCTGACTTGTCCCTTTTCCTCCGCACAGACGAACCGGAACTACAGCCAGGAGAAGAACCGTTGCGAGTATCTTCACAACAAGCTGGCCCACATCAAAAGAATGATAGCCGAGTACGACCACAAGCAGTTCCCCGCCTGGCCCTAAGCCCAGGGCCCGGGGGGCGTCAAACAGCAGACTTTCCGAAAGCGGGGCCAGCGGAAGGGCTCGCTGTGGCCTTTGAAGGGCCACGTGGCCTCACTTGGTTCAGGGGCCAGCAGATTTAATCCCAGCGAGAATCCCGGAGACGACGTGGCGAAACGTCCTCTGTTCTCTCTCCAGACAGTAAAGACAATTAAAGCGCGGAAAGTTTGCTTATTCTTGGATGCCAGCACATGACGTTCCCCAAACAGCTGACTGCCAGCGGCGTGTGGAACCGGGCCCCCGGCTGCAGGCCTCCTGCCACCGACCGGTCAGTGCCGGGCCTTCGCCGGCAGAGAGCGCTCACAGAGCACCCCTCCCTCCGAGGCGCGCTTCCCTGCCCCTGCCCCTGCCCCTGCCCCTGCCCTCCGTTAAACTGTTGCCCCCTCCTGCTTCTGTTTCTGCCCCTCATCCTTTCCTTCCACCCTTCTGTCTGCACGTGGCCAGGTCGGGGTGGGCTCGTGGCTGGGCCTGCTTCCTCGGCCACGTGTGGGCACTTGGTGTGGCGGCCACAGCCGCTGAGGGCGAGCTCAGGCTCACCGTATTTCTCACTCCCGGCGGCCCGTTTCTGTCTGCTGCCGACCGGCCAAGGGGATTTTGTATCGTTGCTTTTTAGGGCCTCTCTCTTGTGAGCGGGGGCCTCCGCCCCCTCCCTTCCTTCCTCCTCTGGATGCGGGGCTTTTTGCAGTGATCTCGTATCAAGGTAGAGGCCAGGCGGACGGAAGGTGCTTTGTTCTCCCTTGGTTTGTGTAAACTTCCCAAAGAAACGGAAGCACATCAAAGGAGTCTGTCCGAGGGCAGTCCCGGAGTCCTCAGCACCGTGCTGTGCGCACCTTTCTCCACCCGTCCTGCCCTGCCAGCCCGAAGAGCGATTTGGGCAGGGGGGAGAGTGCCCAGCTGGGCCGTGCCGAACACCCCTCACGTTTGAGGTGCGGGGCTGATCCTGCCAGATCCCCAAGCTGACTTAGTTCCTGCGTTGTTCTCAGCCAGCTGGCCTTTGGCAGGGCTGTTTAATGACAGGCGTGCGGCTGTGCTGGGAGGAGCAGGGGCCTTCCCTGCAGCCCCAGGAGCAAAGGGGCCTTCCCTGCGGAGCCCACACGAAGCAAGGAGCATCAGCCAAGCTGCCCGAGGAAAGGGGTGTTTTAAACAACACCCGGGTCCTCATGAGAAGAGGGGGTCCTTGGGATGAGGCAGGTGAGAGTAGCGGACCCCAGTCCCGGAGGCAATAATCAGACTCGCAGCTGGCTGCACCCGTTTGGCCTCTCCCAGGATGTCCAGCCGGTCGGTGGCGCTTGGGCGAAGGCGCCCTGACTCCTGCGGGATCGAAACGGGTCTGAGCGTGCCCAGCGTTCCCCCGCGCTGGGCCATTTCCGTCCCGACTTCAAAACCCCCGCCACACACTGTTTTAGTTTGAACCTTCTTTTGGCCCTGGTCCTGAATTCTCAAGGGCCACTGGGCTACAGGGATCTTTTTGGTAATTCCAGGCCGTGAGCTGGGAGAGGCTTGCTGCGACCGGCCACAAGGCACCGTTCTCCTTTGCTGCCACAAGGGTAAATTTAAATTTACACATTTAAATTGCTTTAGGGAAGGAACAGGAGCCAAAAGGGGCTTTTGAGCTGATATTGAGAGGGCTGATCTCTCAACTTTATATTTTTTTGGCAGGGGGAGGGTAACTGAATATTTTTGGAGGGAAATTATTACAAAGAAATGGATCTTGCTTCTTTATATGATAATGTGTTCTATATAATATTTTTGCAAATGACAGTTGGATACAACGATGTATTGTGTACATTACACAGGGCTGTGTGTGTATATATAAAAATATAAAATTATATATTCTGGAACTTTCTAGAATTTGGAATAGATATTTAATGACTATCCAAATGGAGGGGAAATAATACTGTGAGACTTTGCTTTGCTGCTTCATTCTGAGACTGTTTAAAGAAGCATTTTGTGTTTTTTTTAAAATATAAATTTATTTTCTGTTTCATCACCATGTTAACAATTTACCCCTTTTCTAGGGAAAACTGTGCCAGGGTAACACTGAGGTTGGGGTGGGGAGGGAGGGGGGTTAAAGCTGATTTGACCATCTAAAGTTGATTTGAATACGATCTAATTTATTCATTTTTTTTGTAATAATTGTGTGACAGATGATAGAATTTGAGCCATTAAGTTGTTTACAAAGAAAAGGTTTAAAACAAACTTTTTTTTCACATTGCCAAAATGTTAAAAAGTGGCATAAAGCCCTTCTCTACTTTCCTAAACTTTTTGTTTGTTTTCTGTTGTAAAAAGCTGAGAGTTGGAGAAGGCGGGAACAAAGCAAAATTCAAGTGCTGATTTTTATTCAGAAGCATTTTTTTGCAACATATAAATAAAGTCATTGTATTGGAAATACATGTGTGCTTATTTCTGAATGTCACAACCTGTAATTGTTTTTCCCACATATTTACATATATGACCTTTGATCTTACAACAGCTTTCCCTAACTCGCTTCCCTCCAGATGTGTTGGACTACAGATCCTATGATCCCCAGCCAACAAGGCTAGCAGGACTTGTAGCCCCACCAGTAGCGTGAGGGGGCCCAAGATGGAGGAAGCTGCTTTGCAGCGTCCTTGTAAAGTGGTTGTTGTTTAGTTGTGAAGTGGTGCCCGACCCATCGCGACCCCATGGGCAACCCTCTTCCAGCCCCTCCTGTCCCCCACCATCTCCCTGAGTCCACCCAAGCTCATGCCGACTGCCTCAGTGACTCCATCCAGCCACCTCATCCTCTGCCGCCCCCTTCTTCTCTTGCCCTCAATCCTTCCCAGCATCAGGCTCTTCTCCAGGGAGTCCTTCTCATCAGGTGGCCAAAGTATTTGAGCTTCATCTTCAGGATGTGGCCTTCCAAAGAGCAGTCAGGGTTGAGCTCCTCTAGGACTGACCGGTTTGATCGCCTTGCGGTCCAAGGGACTCGCAGGCATCTCCTCCAGCACCACAATCCAAAGGCCTCAATCCTTTGGCGCTCAGCCTTCCTTATGGTCCAGCTTTCACAGCCGCACATTGCAACTGGGAAAACCACAGCCTTGACTATACGCACTTTTGTTGGCAGGGTGATGTCTCTGCTTTTTAGTGTGCTGTCTAGATTTGCCATAGCTTTCCTCCCCAGGAGCAAGCGTCTTTTAATTTCTTGGCTGCAGTCCCCATCTGCCTAGGAAAATAAAATCTGTCCCTATCCCCATTTCTTCCCCTTCTATTTGCCAGGAAGTGAGAGGACCGGATGCCATGATCTTAGTTTTCTTGATGTTGAGTTTCAAGCCAACTTTTGCACTCCCCTCCTTCACCCACATCAAGAGGCTCTTCAGTTCCTCTTCACTTTCTGCCATGAGAGTGGCATCATCTGCATATCTGAGATTGTTGATATTTCTCCTGGCAATATTCTGACTTGTGATTCATCCAGCCCCGCCTTTTGCATGATGTGCCCTGCATACAGGTTAAATGGGCAGGGCGACAGTATACAGCCTTGCCAAACTCCTTTCTCAATTTTGAACCAATCCGTGGTTCCGTGTCCAGTTCTCACTGTTGCTTCTTGACCCGCATACAGGTTTCTCAAGAGACAAATAAGATGGTCTGGTACTCCCATCTCTTTAAGAACTTGCCACAGTTTGTTGTGATCCACACAATCAAAGGCTTTAGCGTAGTCAATGAAGCAGAAGTAGATGTTTTCCTGGAACTCCCTGGCTTTCTCCATGATCCAGCGTATGTTGGCAATTTGATCTCAAGTTCCTCTCCTTCAAAACCCTGCCTGTACTTCTGGTAGTTCTTGGTCCACATACCGCTGGAGCCCAGCTTGTAGGATTTTGGGCATCACTTTGCTAGCATGTGGAATGAGTGCAAGGTGCGTTAGTTTGAACATTCTTTGGCATGGCCCTTCTTTGGGATCGGGATGTAAACGGACCTTTCCAAACTTTTGCGCTCTCCTCTTTCACCCACATCAAGAGGCTCTTTGGTTCCTCTTCACTTTCTGCCACTAGCATGGCCCCTGCAAGGCAGGCCGGGCTTACTAATGGCTCCTGCTTGGTGTGCACATGGCAGCTGTCCTGGGCCCAGGCTTGGAGCCATCAGCACTGGGCAATTGCTTGGGGGCAGGTAGTTGGGGGCAGGACCTCTGGCCACCTGCAGCTCCCCTAGCCCCAACCGCGGGTTCCTTCCCATTTCGAATGGTGGCAGGAAGAGGAGCAATCCACAATGCAGGGGCGGGCCTGACTCCTCCCCTTTTGCCTTCAGCTCCGCCCAGGAGGGGAATGTGGCCCCCCTGAGAGTGAATGCAGCCCCTTGTGGTGAGAGAGGTGCGGAACCGCCTGTGTATGGTGCAGCAGTGCAAGTCTGTGCTCACACGATGCCATTCATCCTTACAACAGCCCTCTAAGGTAGGCCATGAAAGAGCAGTAGGACTCAGTATCACACTAACCACTCTACCCACATCAGGTCCTGCACAATGGCTTGCAGCTTAAATATGGGTGAGGCAGGGAAAGAAAGCAGAGGGCCGAGGGCAGAGCTGGAAAGTTCTTGGGGGAGGTCTCTGCCTTCCCAACTCAAGGCAGTCCCAGGCATCAGGATGAAAAAGCGAGAGGAAAATTTGGGCTGCCTCTTGGGACATCTTTTAAAGAGAGGAAACGAAGATGGACATCAGGGCCGAGGGAATCCCCAAAAGGCCAGTGAGCTGCCCTGACACGGAGTGTGATCTGTGGGGCAGGCCCTGCCTTTGCAAAACCATTCAGCCCCTTTTCCTGCCTTAACTGGCATATTTTTAAAGAATTTTTTATTTTTTTTTGTTTTTTTTTTATTTTTGATTTATATCCTGCCTTTTTCCTACAAAGGGCTCAAGGCAGCTTACATCTCCTCTGCCATCTTATCCCCACAACAACAACCCTGTGAGGTAGGTTGGGCTGAGAGTCTGTGACTGGCCCAAAGTCACCCAGTTGGCTCCCTGGCTGAGCGGGGACTAGAACCCGGATCGCCTGAGTCCCAGTCCCATGCTCTTAACCACTGCGCCACACTGGCTCTCACCCGAAGTCGTTGGGTACTTTTGAGTATATCTTGCGAAATACATTCCTCAGTTCTTTTGACCCCAGTGTACTTTAACAGGAGTTTGTGATGTTTGAGGTTTTGTTCCATTCTTCGTGGGGGAGCAGAGCTGGCCTCAGAAGCTCCTGGCAACAGGATAGGAAATGCAAGAGGACCGAACTTGTGGGATTCCAGAAAGCCTGGTGAGTTTGCTTCCATGTCATGAAGACACCCAGAATCCGAGACTTGCCAAGTGCCAGATGTGGACTTCAATCCCATCGGCCCCGGGCAGCCAGGCCATGCTGAGGAGGCTGGGCTGTTGTGAGTCCAGTTGAGGCTGAATGAACCCCGCAGGGGGCGGGTTAAAATGCGACCCCCTGTGGGGCAGAGGGCATTTGGGGCTTTAGCTTTTCAAACGGCTCTCCAGCCCGGTTGTTGCAAAGTCCTGGGGCTGTAGAACCAGAGGCAGAATGTTAGAACGTTGCTCCTTGGAGTCTGTTTCTCCCCTAAAGAACAGCAACAGCATTTTGGGACACCTTTGGCCAGTTGCCAAGGCTCAATTAAATGTGGGTGTCTCCCCTCCTAAGCTAGCCGGGGTGACTGAAGGGGATTCCAGACCCACCAGGGCTTAAATCCTGCACAGTGCTAAATATTGTGCCCCAAATGTTCATAAATGCTGAGGTTGCAGGAAACAGAATTGGGTTTTGCAAAGGGATGAATGGTATAATGAAATATGGAATATGGTAATTAATGATAAACTGATGACAGAAATAAAAGTTAAAAGAGGGTTAATGAAAGCAAATAAATATAATGAAATTTGGGAAGATTTTGTAAAAGCAGTACTAATAGAAGGCAAAGGCTGTAAACCTAAGCAAGATTATATGAATTTCTGGAGGGGATATGGATATAATTGAAATATATTATATATACTTAATTGTTATAATATGTAAATTAAGCAGTGGTAATATTGGTCTCCGGGGTGGTGGGGGCACTTTATTATTTACTCTTCAATTATTGGGTTTTTGTTATGTTAGATTATTATTGCTGTGATATGTTGTATTTATGTTTCTTTTTCTGTTTAAAAAAAAAATAAAAGGGGGAGGGAATGGGGAGGTTGCAGAATATTTGTAGCAGCAGAATTTCAAGTGAGGCCAGACAAGAAATGCATTGGTGCCCCAAAACCTAGCAAGAAGGCGGAAGATGCAGAAGGTGAAGGCTTGGGGGTGGGGGGGCACTCCAGCCGTTCTCTAGGGCTCCCTGCCCTTTCTCCTCACAGGCATCGCTTAAGGCTTGGTAGCTCCTCCAACCCTGGGACTCCTCCTTCCTTGCAGCTTTTCTTTTGAGAGATACAGGCGCTGTCCGTGGTCTCTGAGGTGGTGGAGCTGAATGGGACCAGAGTTCAGCACCTTGGAGAGCTCTCTCACAGCTCCGTGAGGAGCCTTGCTGAGGGAGGGGTCACCCCCGGCCCCCACACCTCTTTCCAGGCAGTTCTCCCCCAAGGCCGGGTGGCTCCAGCCAAAGCTTTCCCTGCAGTGAGTCCGTGTTTTGCTCTGGGCCCCACCTTGTGGCCCTTCTGCCTTGCCGCCCCTGGAACCCGGAAGGTGGGTTCTAGGGCCCTGGCACGAAAAGCCCAATGCAGGGTTGGACTAGAACTAGGGGGAAATAGGACCAAGTCCCACCCCGAGAGCCATTACTTAAAACCGCAGAAGCTCAATTAAACCAGGGGCTTTCCTAGCTCGCTCGGGACGTGGCCGAATTCCCAGCTGTGCTGTCTGAGGTCTGGGGGAGCTACCCTCCCCTGCGGATGTGCAGAACTACAGGGCCTAGCATCCTAGAGCGGCTGGCACAGCTGGGAGTGGAAGTCCAACATCCAGAAGGCACACCAGGTTGGGAGGGTAACAATGGGAATTCTGCTCACCGCCCCAGCACTTGGAGGCAACGCGCACCCAGTTCCTGCACAACATGTCGGTTGCGGGACTGGGCCGAGGCCCGGGCCCGGGGCTTGTGCGGATGCTCAGACAGGCCGGGCAGGGCAGGCCAGCGTGGAAATGCCCTGCTGGGCCGGGCAGAGTGTCCTGTCCATCATCTCCGGACCCCGGTGTCGGCCACTGACACCGCGATGGGAAAGGGCCACGCCAGTGTACGAAAGCGACGGGGAACTGCAGGGGCCGCCGGAGGCCCAGAGGCAGCGGCTGCCCAGCGGCTCCCAAGGCAGGTGCGGGGTGTGTGCATTTGCGAGCGTGGCGCAGCGTGTCTGTGTGTTGCCTCTGCGCAGAAGCCTGCCTTTTCGCTGTGCAATGTGTGCTCACGACATGGCGTGTCGTTGCCGTTTCTCTGCATTTGTGCACA